GTCGGGAGACCTGGCTGAGGGCATGCGCTGCGTCCGGGAGCTGGAGGTGCCGCATTTCCACCACGAGCTCGTCTACGAGGTAAATAACACTAGCTGCTGCGTGACTTCCTCCACGCGAAATTAAAAAATATATCCTAGTAGCTTTCTCTCCTGATTCCTTCCGCGTTAAATAAAAAATAAAAGAAAACATAGGCTGTTTTCTTCCAGACTATCCTCTACATATATGCCGAATTTCATCGAGATCTGTCCAGCAGTTTAGGCTACACTCTAACAAACATCCATACATCTAAACTTTCGCATTTATAATATTAGTATTAATATAACGTTACTTAGCGATAACGTAGCTCTTTATTAGAGAAAGAATTTTTAACATTGGCCCAGTAGTTTTTGAGTTATTTCAATACATACAAAAATACAAATCTTTCCTCTTTATAATATAAGTATAGAATAACAAACACTTATCTACAGTTATAGCTTTTGCCCGCGACTCCGTCTGTGTGCATTTGAATAAAAATAAAAGCAATAAGCCTACGAATCTCATCGAAATCCGTTCAGTAGTTTTGGCTACAAACTCTAATAAACATCCATCCAATCAAACTTTCACATCTTACTAATATTATATATGCGAAAGTTTAGATGGATGGATGGATGTTTGTTAGCGTTTGTAGCCTAAACTGCTGAACGGATCTCCATGAAATTTGGCACAGGTTTAGAACATAGTCTGGAAGAACACATAGGGTACTTTTTATCCCGGGAATAGTTACGGTTCCAGTGGGATTCATTGATTTAGTTTTTTAATGTTAACTCGATCATTCTGCAACGGTTCAACATATCTTATTGAAATTTGGCACAGATATAAAACAAAGTTTAGAGTACACATGGGATGAGGTTCATGCCCAAAAAATTACCGGTTCCCGTGGGATACGTAGCTTTTTGTTATTTATACAGTTCGTATGTTTTCTAATACCACGCAGACGTAGTCGCGGGCAACAGCTCGTTTATAATATTAGTAAGATTATAAAGCGGAAAGATTTGTATTTTTGTATGTATTGAAATGACTCAAAACCTTCTGGACAGATATCGAAAAGTCTCACTATTAAAAATCTATATTTTAATGAATGTTTGTTAGAGTTTGTAGCCTTAACTGCTGAACAGATTTCGATGAAATTTGGTATAAATGTAGAGGATAGTTTGGAAGAACACATAGGATACTCACTTTTTTTTTATAACAAAAGGTGGCAAACTTGCAAGCGACCACTTGAATCCGCCAAAATGGCGAAGCGACCGCTGCCCATAGTCATCCGCAATTGCAGATGCGTTGCCTACCCTTATACGACGGAGGAGGAGATGAATTTAAAGAGGACATTTCCCCTTCCTATGCAAATCCTCTACCGTCAAATCCACTTCCCCTTCCCATCCTCTCCTTATAAGAAAATGGTGGTAAAAAGAAAGGGACTTAAATTAGGCCTCCGGCGCCACACTTATCAGCGTGTTTTCTGTGTGGTCGTGGTATTACTGGAGGCGTGCCCTGCACTGCTAACATGTTAAAGCGGGCACTACCACTGTTTCTTTTTATTTCACGCGGACGGGGAAGCGGTTGAAAGCTAGTATTAATATAGATAGATTTTAGAAATAGTTGAGAACGCAACCATGTTTTTAGTGGCAACACTTTTTGTAACTTCCTCTTCCATCTTGTGTTCACTGAATATACGCCGTGCATTTTCTCAAGCCATTGTTTGATTTATTTTCACCATTATCCACACAATATATCAACAATATAGATAGATAGATTTACTAATAGCGTTGGCGCAGCGACCAATAGATATTAGTAAATATAAAAATGTTTGTTTTCAGACGGTGTTGCTAGCTGTGGAAGCAATAAACTCCAGCGTAGAGGAGCAGTTATGCACATTCCTGGCGGAGTTACGAAGATGTGTTATAGTCACCCCAGATCAAATGGATAGGGTGAGTATATTGTTGACTACTAGCTTTGGCCCGCGACTACGTCCGCGTGAATTTAAAAAAAACTAAGTAGCTTATGTTTCCTTTCAGACTATCCTCTACATCTATGCCAAATCGAAATCCCTTCAGCTGTTTAGGCTACTAACTCTAACAAATATCCATCCATCTAAACTTTTACATTTATATTAGTAAGATTCTTATATATCAGACAAAGCAAACGATATTCGCCAAAATGGCGAAGCAAGCCTGCGTTTATCCGCTAATGAAAGTAAACAATAAAATAAAGTTGTTCATTACATATCAATAAAATATTTATTACTAGATGTTCTTGTATGGCTTTATCTGCATATATTAAAAATATTTTATTGTTTACTTTTGTAAAACTTTAAAACTAGAAATGTCAAAATTCACATACTTAATTATAAATGACAACGAAGGCCTTTGCGTTTTTATGGTAACAATCTTGTTTCTTTGATGTTGTCAGCTTGTATTTTTGTCCCTTTCCCTCATGGAAGTTTATTTCAATTCATTCACCCCCTAAATTAAATAGCGTGATAATATGCATCTTGTAAATGGGTTATTTATTAGAGAAAGAATGATTCAATAATTTTACTGCGATTGCTTACATAACAAAGTGTGTACATTATGTTAATATAAACTATTTTTCTTCTCCAGGGTTTCCTCCGCGTGTTGGAGGATATGTCGGACATAGTATTGGACGTTCCTCTGGCCTACATAATGCTGGACCGGTTCGTGGAGCGCTGCCAGACGAAGTTCCGTCTTGGAGACGATGTGCTGAAGAGGATGCCCACCAGGTATGTCGTTGCTTTTCACTTGTCGGACGTGACAGGTTTATATCGCGTTGTAATGTGTTAGCCTAGTTTTCCGTGCGAATGTTTGTAAAACTTAAGACAATGTCACTAGTTATTTGTCACTTGTCGGACGTGACAGGTTTAATATCGCGTTGTAATTAATCCACTCGAGTTCTGCGAAGCATCGAGATATTTTCCGAGCCGCAATATGTTTTTAAAACTCAATACAATGTCACTAACTACTTGTCACTTGTTGGACGTGACAGGTATAGACTTGTCACTATACTAAATGAATATTGTGCCTTGTCGGATGTAAAGAGTTATGTATATGACAGTTTCTAGCCAGTCACAGTATGGATTAAAATGACAGCTATTATTTTATCACTTGTCACTGTAGGACATGTAAGGTTGCAACCTGTCATGTCCGACAGACGACAATTTGTAGTATGTAATTGAGATGACAGCTTTATTACTGATGGCAATGACAGCATAATATCTGTCACCGATGACAGATTGTCACTTGTCACCTGTTGCTGTTGCTAAGAGCAAAAAGATTTGTATTTTTGTATGGATTGTAATAACTCAAAAAATTACTGGGTCGATTTCTAAAATTCTTTCACCATTAAAAAGCTCCGTTATCACAGTAATATAAGCTATAT